TGATGATGATGATGTTGATATCACAAATTAGCATTTAAATAACTCCAAAACCGTTTGCGGTCAGGGAATGTAAGCATCTGACATCAAATTTCATGTTTCCATCTCAGTTCCTGCATATAGACATGGGAGAGTACCAGATGGCTTGGACATGCAGTAAATGTGATGATACCTGCAATAATAACAGCTGCCAAAGTGAAGGATGTTTTATGCCAGTCAGCACTAACCCAGCTACATCGAGCCTGCCGGTAAAAGATCAAGTCTGGGTCAGGCCGACCAGTGGTCGATAGCATGAGCATCAATCCACGTAATGGAGCTACAGTGAGACACACTTCATAACTACCTGGATCATCTTCACTGGAACTGTCTGGGCCAAACACTGTTGAGTCTACTCGCCCAAACATGTCTCAAAACCTTGTTTTCAGTAGGGACTACAGTGATTTTTGACACAAAAAGCTCTATATGGGTTTGTTTGTTTGACGCCAGCTATTCCAGCTATATGGCGGCGGTCTGTAAATAATCGAGTCTGGACCAGACTATCCAGACTGACTTCACGAGCATCAATCCACTCAATTGGGTTACGATGACATGCATCAACCAAGTCAGCGAGCCTGACCACCCGATCCTGTTCATCGCTGCTTTTAACAGTATTCCAGTAATATCACTGCGTGTCAGCTTAATGTGGGAGGAAAGCCCGAAGTGATGCAAGTCTCTGACTTTTACCACTTCGGTGAAACCCACGAGCATGGGTATGGTGCTGACAAACCTAGAAACATAATCGGGGCGAACCGGAATTCGAACCCACAATCATAGGTTTCTGGCGTGCCCAAGGGACACAACTCTGCACCTGAAATCGCGGCGCCCTAGACGACTGGGCCACCTGTGCCCCCTTTATCATAGGAATATTATCAATAATGGTGTCTTTAGTTGTCGTATACAGCATACAGTGTCATATTAGATTAGCAGAAATTTTTGGGCAAGGCGTGTCCAACAATGATTAGCAAATCAGCAACTTATTTTGAAATTATAAACGGGCAATCCGTCAACCTTGCCAAACTCCACGATGACAGTTACATCATGATCATTTGCCATCACACTTTCTTGTGGAAGTATCGTGGTATTTTTTAGTCCTATAAAGCTCTCGAACCCACACGACACCAGTTTGCAGGGACTAGATGAATAGTGTTTTTAAATATTTAATTTAAATACCCACATGTGTAAAAACTAGTGGGTAACAGAAATTTGAATACCCAGATAGAATTACTGATACCCAATGATTTTAAAATGCATGGGTAAAATACCCACAACACCAAAAGCTTATCTGGAGCTCTGGGTACGTATTTCATCGACTAGTTACCATGGTTACCACGGTAGTACATAAATGTAATTACTTGTTTCATTACTATATATAATATTAATAATATTTATCTGATTTTTTCGCAAACCCGACTTGAAGCAATTTCAAATAGTGACTTGACTTAATAAACAAGGGATGCAACTCAACTCAACAGGAGACATTTCCTTGCCTCAATAGGGTGAAAATATGACATCATGGAAAAAGCCTGGAAATTCTTCCAGCCCTAGGGATGCCTTTATCATATTAACATTAGACAAACTCATTTTACTGACTCAGGCTAGTGGACTAGTGCCAAGTGGCATCCCTGTCAACATTTGGAACACTTTATTAACCAGTGTCCAAAATAATGCCTTCCCCAGGGCTGGGACGGGGAACTCGGGTACTCGGGTCGGGTGGTTCCTGAGTAGGACCTGGATACCCACAGGACTACCCGGACCCGTGGTTAGTCACGTGAAATATTGTTTAATGGCAAAAATTATCTAGAACTTCCATGGTTACACTATAAGAGACTAATGTTCGCATTTCTTTCTGACTATGCACCCATTCCTTCTGACTTTATATGCTTGAATAGAAATACAACATCAGTCAACTTCAGTGTTTGCATGACCAGATTGTTTTATATGAGTATCGAAATACATTTTGCCAGGGCTACAGTCAAACTATTCCCAATCGGACCTTTCTCTTGAGACCTACAGCGGGTACCCAGTAGGGTAGGGTAATAGGGTGGTGGGTACCCAGATAGTAAATTTTGACTCGTCCAAGCCCTAGCTTGCCCGCGGCTAGTAATATTTCTGTCGGGCTGCATGAAATTTTCCTTCACCTGCGCGACTGTCTGGCAGATAGTCTTAAACCAACTTACCTATTCAATTTTATCATAATTCCTCGTAGATTCTCAAGTAATTGTTTGCATTATTTCAAATGAATCAAGACATGATTTGTCTCATACTGTCGTCAGCAATCCATATTAACAGTTCATGAAAGGAAGTAACAACACATTCATTGGTCAATCTAGTCTTAATTTTACTTCTGCGGTTGGGTAGCCTAGTGGTTAAATCGTTCGATAGCACGCCGAAGACCTGGGATCCGTTCCCGACATGGGTACAATGTGTGAAGCCCATTTCTGGTGTCCTGCCATGATATTGCTGGAATATTGCTAAAAGCGGTGTAAAACCATACTCACTCAGTTAATTTTACTTCTTAGGGCCTTGAAAACACAGTACACAAGGATACGTTGAATTCAATATTGTCTGAACACAGGCAGGTATGTTTGAAGATGAGCAGGCAATATTTATAGGTCACCTGCCTGACTGTCTTGTTGGGTCATAAAATTATTTCAAACACTGGTATAAAGGATACTAGATTATTTTGAACATGAGCAGCGGTAGAAACTAACATTTTTGGTCCACTAGTCCTTATAATGATAACATGTAGCAAAACCCTTAAAAATGGCAAATATCCTTATGATACCTTAACTATTGGGCAGTTTGGCAAGGGCTATAGGACTAGTGCCAATTTCTAACCCTGCTGAGTAACAAAACATGAAAAACAAATAATAGAGCGTATGGCTGGTGGTGATGGTGGTGAAATGCATTTTGCGTTCAAGATTATTGCACAAGTCGTTTATATATAGATGTGCTTGCGGGTGTATTGTGAAATTCAATCAAATCAAAACAGCTTTACACAGTTGAAGCTATTCCAGGATTATTGTGACAACCTGTCTACAGCACTGTCATAATACTTGAACATGCCTGTAGAATACCATATTTCCTCTAATGGACACCATGGCATCTAATTTCGTGTAAACAGTTGACCTGGAATCTGTTACCTTACCAAATTACCAATTCTACAGCCATACAAAGGGTGCATTAGCCGGTTATTAATACTGTATTCGACGTAATAAGCGCCCAGGGCGCTCACAAAATTAGAAATAGGGGGCCCTTATTAGAATATTATTTTGGTGAAAAAAACAGTTGAAGATCAATTTTGTGGTTTATGCTGACAGCCTGAAATGTTTATGTACGACAGATATATTTTTCCAGAATTTAACTGCCAATAATAAAGGGTGCATATATCACACAAGTGCATATTATACACGAATAGGGGAAGGAAGCGGTGCGTATTATATGCGAAAAGGGGTCGGATGGGTTGCTAATTGGGATTGTTTACTAGCCATTATATTAGCAAATCTCGCATAGGCGCTTATTAGAGCGGGCGCTTATTACGTCGAACATGGTGAGTACAGCGTGTAATCAGTTGCCTACATGTTGTTAGTTAATGTGATTAAGATAATGATTGACCAGGGTCCACTTGCACAAAGAAATCTTAGCGCTAAGATGATCGTAACTCCCATACTTTAACATAGGCTGACGATAGTCTTAGCGCTAAGATCGCTTTGTGCAAGTGGACCCTGGTGTCTAACAAAATCCCTGCTTCTATTATTTCGACAGAGAGTATGACTTAGAAGGGTGGTATGTATTGTAAATCCTAGTCTAATACAAGGGGAAATACGGTATTATGACTTCATGATAGTAATGTTTACTTTAAGACTAAACTTCACAAGAGCTGCTTCATTGTAGCGAGGACAGTTTGAATAATGCTGACAGGATATCTGCATTAGACGAATTCATTTTCTCAAATTAAGCAAATCATAACTGCCATGACAATGATGATCACTGATCTCTGAATTCAACCATTTGAAATATAAGACTCAACCGATTATTTGCAAACTCTGATAGTCACACAGTTTGTTGACCCCACGATTCACACGTTCATGCTCCAATGAACTCACACAAAGAAGAAAAGTCAATCCTAGGTGACCGTGACAACAGCTGGTTTTTTTTGCAGTATATAAAAAACTCTAAACAAACGGGAATGAATCAATAATGAGAATTATCAAACAAGAACTATTTCCGGGACACATTTCAAGGGCATGAACATGTCACGATGTATAACGAACTGACCAGTTGACACACACACTTGTACTATGGTCACGGTTGACCAGACACAGCTGAGCACATATCACACATTGCTCAATTGGAAACGCCCTTAGTTTAGTTACTATGAATCCACAAAGGAATGTCTGACCTACTAGGGATTTGTTACAGGAAGACTGTTTCCTTCAGGAGAGAAACTGGTAGTTCAGTGGAGTACTTTCAGCCACGTATGTCTGCTAGCTAACATCGATCCTGTTTTGGCCATAACACTCTATATGTGTTCATTCGGGCGTCTGTCTTTGAGATCATATTTCATCATACTCGTCCGTTGTCAAAATAAAACCAGCATACCTAACAATCAATGATGATTTCAATCTTAATTCAAAATTATTCATATTTCACGAACAAAGGACCGAGTGACTGAACCGCCTCGCAATCAGCTGATTGCCAATGACAGGCGTATTATCCAGTCGGGTTGCTGGGTTTTAGAAAAAAACAAACCACTTGCTGGTTGTAAATCGTGCAGGTCACACACCACACGCTTCAAAAACAGTATTTAACTGGCGGTTGATCATCAAGGAGTAATATTTGATGATTTATTTCATAAAATATGTCTGGATTTCGTTTAGGGCAACAGCTGTGTCGAATATTTACCCCAAACCGACCAGACAGGATCGGACAAATGTAGGTACAATTTCCTCAAATTCACCTACCTCTCTCAGGCTTCATGTCGGTCAAACTGGCTTCAGACCGAGCGGAATAACTAGCCCAGATGTCCTACGGTCACATTGTGCCGTGTGTTTTGTTGCTAGATTCTCATTTTGAACTCGAAATCCAACTTTATCGAGTCGAGTCCATCGCTGTCAGGCCAGGTCTGTTTATGAATAATGTTGTGCCTATACGAGTCACGTGACAAGCTCGATACCTCATTCCAGATTTAAATAAAGCCTTATTGAATAGACAACATGCTTCAACATTTGTTATTTTAAATAATAACACTGTTCTCGTTAATGGTGTTTGCAAATTCGCATGATTTTCGTGAAATTTGAGCGAGCCACATCGCTTTAACTTTGACCTAACGGCCTTGACCCCTGGGTTGGTCCAGTGACCTTTCCAAGTTTACAATGCCCGAATGGGATTGAATGGGTGTTGCCTTTATCGCCCGAAACTCGAAGGAGTGTCGGTAATTCACATTTGTGATGCAGAATTATGCATCAACAGTAAATATACTTTATCTGCTGTTGTAGTCGGTTTTTGTATTTTTTTTGTCAGATGACAGGTGATTGGGGAGGTAACTCCAATCCAGTGTCCTTCTCGATTCTAAACGCTGTATGTACTGTATCCAAACAATATCTGTTCAAAACACATCAAATATTTTTTTTCTGGTTATACGTCCTTGTAATATCAAGAAGCTTACAATCTAAGACCAACATGGGTCTTGTTGAGCATTTAACAAAAAACGCTATCGAACGGACCATGATTTTTTGAGAATCACTATTTCCTGTTTACGAAGCATAAGCAGATATAAATACATGTAGAATCTAGTTCATTTTTAAAATTTCCGCGTGTATGAAAACTCATGTGAAAAATAATAACAAGACCTATCTGGACCGGAACAAAATTACAGCACTGAACTATATATTATCACAGTGGTAAATGTGGCTGATTGCCGCGCTAAACAAAAATATAATTCCGACAGTTTCCATGGAAACGAGTGTAGTTCTGCAGTTAAAAGGTATACATAAAATATTTAACTGGTATTAATGTTTTTAATTAAGTGTTTTGTTTCTTCGTTTGTTGCTTTGATTGTTTTATTATTGTTTTTGTATGTTTTGATGGTTTTGTTTGCATTTGTGTGTGTTTCATTTCATCATGTTTATATATTTCTATTTGAATATTTATTTATTTTTCTTATTTTTATTTTATCTTCCATCTAATTATTTTTATTTATTCTTTTTCAGGATGGGTATGCAAGGGCGGATACAGGGGGGGGGGGGGGGTGCGGGGGTGCGCAACCCCCCTTTTTATTTCGAAAAAAATCTTTATTTCTGTATAAATTACCACTAAAGACAATTAATAGATCTTAATTGTGCCCCCCCCCCCCCCCCCCCCCCCCCCCTTTTTTTAAAAAAAGCTGTATCCGCCCATGGGGATGGTAGGGCCTTATATGGTTGGTGAGTTATGGGATAGAGAGAATCCATTTTATGGTATGGAATAAATTCTTGGTTTCACGTAGAATTGAAATACTGTTCAAAAGCATAGTTAACCAAACTCAGTCACATTCGTTTCCATAGAAAACAGTGACTACATAATATTGTCGATGATTACGTTACGATGGAAACCAGGGGGCACGTGTGGCCCCGTCGTCTACGGCGCCAGAAACCTGTGATTGTGGGTTCGAATCCCGGTTCGCCCCGATTATGTTTCTAGGTTTGTCAGCACCATACCCGTGCTCGTAGGTTTTACCGAAGTGGTAAACGTCTGAGACCTGCATCACTTCGGGCACATTAAGCTGACACGCCGTGATATAACTGGAATACTGTTAAAAACGGCGTTAAACCCAACTCACTACGATGGTAACCAATGGTACAACTGTAAACTGACGTATTTATATAATGAAATACAGACGGGCGAATTAACAGCTTGCACCATGTATTTGTGACATACTTACACGAACATTAATTAAACTTTTACACAATTGACACACACTAATGCTTCTTTACCCGCAACGTTCTCGCACTACATTTCAACAATCACACATTTTCCCGTTCAACACGTTATCGGTTTTGAGTTCCTATGTACTTATTGCGGCAGAAGTGGTTCCAGTGGTCACACTCGGGGACGTGGTTGATGACGTCACGGACGTTGCTCACGATATCAGCCGCTGGTTTGCCCGCTCCAGGGCTCCGAGCTTACAACATCATTTAACTTCGTCATGGCCAATAGATCGAAGTTAAGGGACTGGTCACGTGTTATAAGGGAGGCGGGGTCGGGGAAATTACTGGTGGGGGGAGGGGTAGAGTGTGGCGTGTGGTCATGAAAACATGTTAGCGAAAGAGGGAGAGAGGGCGCCAACATTTATCACATTACCTAGGTGTGTGTGTGTGTGTGTGTGTGTGTGTGTGTGTGTGTGTGTGTGTGTGTGTGTGTGTGTGTGTGTGTGTGTGTGTGTGTGTGTGTGTGTGTGTGTGTGAGAGAGAGAGTGTGTGAGAGAGAGAGTGTGTGAGAGAGAGTTGGGGGGGTGGGGGCATTTTTGGGGACTGATCATTTATTAGGGTAGGGGGAAATGTTACGTGTATTTGTTTAGGGGGTGGCATGAAACAAACTCAAATACAATGGGTGTGGGGATCTTCAAAATATGGTAGAGTCCCACGATAATCTCTCCCCCACCTAACCCATCCCACCCCTATAATCAATTACCAGTCTCTTATTCTCTGAACCGTAACTGATTTCTTTGCTGATTTCTTTGGGAGAGGGAGTCAGGTTTAACGCCGCTTCGAACGGTATTTCAGTTACATCAAGGCGTGTCAGCTTACTGTGGGTGGAAAAGCCCGAAGTGGATCAGGTCTTAAACGCTTACCACGTTGGGGAAACCCATGAGCACGGGTATGGTGCTGACAAACCAAGACACATAATCTGGGCGAACCTGGGATTCGAACCCACGATCAAGTTCGAAGGCCTGAAGGCTCTCGACTTGTTAAAAAGTCGTTTCAAATTCCGAGTGAGTGAGTGAGTGAGTAATGGTTTTACGCCGCTTTTAGCAATATTCCAGCAATATCACGGCGGGGGACACCAGAAATGGGCTTCACATTCAAATTCCGAGTGGGGAGGGGATCAGACAACCCTCCTTCACTTGTACAGATCGTCAATACGCTCCAAACTAGACTATGATTCCATTGTCGATGGTGGAGCCTGCAAAAGCAATTTAGAAAAAAGACAAAATACACCATCAGGGCCTATGGCTCTGTCTTGGAGCTTTTAGGACCTCTCCCGTGGACAGTTTGTATGTGGAGGCCGATGAACCTTCACTCGAACTGCGCCGCATTAAACTGTCACTGCAATATATCACTAAATTGCACTTCAATAAATCAAATCCAGCATACAATTGTGTTTTCTACCCTCAATATGAAAACCTGTTTCAAAATCTGTCTAACTTGGAATCAGAATTCAACCACACATCACTGCAGCTAAAATATACACTCCTCAAAAACAGAAACGCAAAGCCAGATTTGTGTGAGGTAGGAAAATACATTTATACAAGGAACCATACAAGGTATTGAGCCAAAATGTTGTGGAGAGAACACTTGGTGATTGTAGTCATCTCAGTTATCGGTACATAGGAAAAGTCCAAGGTGAAGGTCAGCTACCACCAATAACGCGTATGTCCCCCGATGGAATCGATAGTGGCCTGACATCTGTCCATGGAAGAGACGAGTATGAGAATTACATCCTGGGGAATGGTAGCCGCTCGGCCTGCAACGCAAAAGCCAACTGCTACAAAGTCTGGGGTTGTGGTTGACGTCGGCGTTGCCGTCTATCCAATTCATCCGACAGGTGTTCTATCGCGTTCAAATCCGGGGATCTGGAGGACCAGGGGAGAACATCAACGTTGTTGTTGTGTAGACAGGCTCTTGTGATCCGTGCTGTATGCGGAGGAGCCTTGTCCTGCTGGAATACACCGTTGCCGTTTACTGCAATTGGGAGGACGTGTGGTAGGAGAATTTCGTTGATAAATCGTTGTGCCGTAAGATTGCCCTGGATATGGACCAAACCTGTCTTGCCATGATGAGAGATAACCGCCCATATCATAACGCTACCCCCACCAAACCTGTCCACTTCCTGTACTTAGTTTCCGGCGTAACGTTCTCCCCCATGTCTGTAGACCCGTGCTCTTCCATCCCCTCGACGGAGGAGAAATCTTGATTCGTTGCTGAAACAGATATCTCTCAATCGCAGTTGAGGCCATACCCTGTGTTGACGACACCAATGCAGTCGTTGTTGACGATGTTGTCGACTCAATATGACGAGTCGAACAGGACGTCTTGCTCGCCAACCTGCTGCTCTTAAACGGTTTCGTACGGTCTGGTCGGAGATTCTGCGCAGTCCGGGTATTTGGGATGCGATTGAGGTTGCTGTGGTCGTCATTTCACGTAGGTGGCGCAGTCGGATGTCGCAATCTTGGGCGGGGATGGTTACTCTTGGTCGTCCCGACCTTGACCGATGACGTCTTGACCCTAGCTGTTGAAACCCTCCCATATCCTTGTGATGTTGCTGGGCGCTACATCGAAAACCCTGGCTACAGCTGATCGGGATTCCCCTGCCTGCAATCGGCCTATGACGTTGTTCCTGTGCACGTCTGTTAATCTTGGCATGTTGTTGGACTGTCACTGTTCGATTGACGCAGGTGCCAGGCAATAAAACACCCTGCAGTTTAATACAGTGCGTGCATCTCAAAGGCCGCTTTGTTAATGCACTGGGTACGTTTTTCCGAATCGTCCGTGTTTCCCGACTAATGGTTTGCATGTCCTTGTCGTGATCCTTTTGATCCGGGGAATTTGTCACTGACACTATAACACATTAAACCCCTTCATTTTGCAGCTCTTGGTCCGTTAATTTTGCTTTTATGGCCCAAAATATCCGTTTTGCGTTTCTTTTTTTGAAGAGTATATCTAAATATGATGTCACCCTCCCGAAGCCTGTCTTCTCCTCCCTCTCAGAAGGTTATATACTCCGTAACCCGAACAGTGATTTCAAACCAACCACCAAGAGTTATACTCGGGATCTCATGCAAAAGGGCCCGTGAAGTTCCGGGGTAGAATAGGTCTTCAGCAACCCATGCTTGTCGTAAAAGGCGAATAGGCTCCAGACTTGATTATCTACCCCGGATCTTCACGGGTCCCATAGGCTTGGTACCTAGAGCTTTGAATAGCTTTACAATATAGTCTCTGAAATCTTATTACACAATATCCTTCTTGACTCCCTATGCTGATTTCAGAATAGAAAGTGGAATAGAGCTAGCTTGAGCTGGCTAGACTTGCTTTTGTATGCAT